AGAAGTAGCAGGGGTTACTGCCAAACAGAAGCTTCAAGAGCCAGTCTGTGGTACACCATGACCCATTGTGCTTGGTCATGGCATTCAGCAACACCCCAGAAAGAAGCTATTCTGTCAGCCTGGATCCTGAAGTGCAGAAGGCATGGAGTAATGCCATAGCAAACAACACGTAGAGTGGATGATACCAGCCAGGAAGGTGCAAGGCTTATTTGTTACCATAGCAAAGCTTAGCCCAACCTGAATGATATAGCATTTTAGCCACACCTAAAAAAGAATTTTGAAACCATGCAAAATGATAAAAAAATATGTGAGTTAGCCCCAAGATGCCCTTTTGTCAACTCCGTCTTAGAAGAACAAAATTCTAGCTTAATAAATAAACATGGTCCTTCTAGTTCACTTTGCAAGCTGTGAGTTTGGGGAGTCTCTGCTCTATACTGTAATACCTTGGCCTTGGTGCCAGCCATCAGCACATAAGGAGGCTTCTGGAGTTAGGCCTATCTCCACATCCTTCACACTGATGAGTTTAGGGAGACAGCGAGATCAAAATACTAAGCATGAAGTTTGGGGCTATCTTCTTTCTCCTTCTGAGGCCTAAAGGGGTACATGAGACTGGCAAGTAAGAAGGAGGCATCAGTATGAAGGTCTGAATTTCATAACCTCACTCTCTGATTGAGAAGAAAGGACAAAGACTCATAGACTCCCCCCCCACCCCCCACCCACTGTAAGTTCAATAGGGCTTCCCACACCAGCTCTCCAGGTCTAGTGACATTAGCAAGTAAGTGTCAACATGCACATTGAGTACAGAACCACCAAACACAGGATGCTGATGCTCGATCCCTACCACAGGGCCTTTGCTCTTGCTGCATCCTCTGTTTAGAATAACACAATGCAATAGAAATATAATATGAACCACAAATGTAAACATTTGCTTATATTTCATTGGCCAAAATATTCTAGTTCCCACATTTAGAAAAGTAAAAAGAAATAAAGTAAAATAAATGTTAATAGCATACTTTATTTAGCCCAACATATCCAGAAGGCCCCTCTCCTTGAGGCAGGGACCCACATTTTGTTCCTCTTTGTATCTTCTTCCTTTGTCCACCCCAAAGAGTGGCATTCAATAGATATCTCATTTCATAGTGCTTGAATGTTTGTGCCCACCAAATCTCATGTTGAAATGTTATCCCCAGTGTTAGACGTGGGGCCTGGTGGAAGGTGTTTGGGTCATGGGGATGGATCCCTCATGAATGGCTTGGTGCCATCCTTATGGTAATGAATGAGTTCTCACTCTATGAGTTCACACAAGATCTGGTTGTTTAAAAGAGCTAGGGGACAGGTGTGGTGGCTCACGCCTATAATCCCAGCACTTTGGGAAGCCGAGGTGGGTGGATCACCTGAGGTCAGGAGTTTGAGACCAGCCCAGCCAACATGGTGGAACCCCATCCCTACTAAACATACAAAAAGTTAGCCAGGTGTGATGGCATATACTTGTAATCCCCACTACTTGGGAGGCTGAGGCAGAAGAACTGATTGAACCCAGGAGGTGGAGGTTGCAGTGAGCCGAGATCGTGCCCTTGATCTCCATCCTGGGCAACAAGAGTGAAACTCCATCTCAAAAAACAAAAAGAGCCAGAAATTCCTCACTTTACTGCTTCCTCTCTCACCATCTGGTGAGCTGGCTCCCCCTTTGCCTTACACCATGATTCTAATCTTCCTGCAGCCCTCACCAGAAGCAGATGCTGACACCATGCTTTCTGTACAGCTTGTAGAATCACGAGCCAAAATAAACCTCTTTTCTTGATAAGTTACCTAGTCTCAGGTATTTGTTTATAGCAGTGCAAATGGACTAACACGTCATGTAATCATCTCCATGTGTAATCAACATTTTAAAATTAATTAAAAGAAGCCAGGTGTGGTGGCTCACACCTGTAATCCCAGCATTTTGGGAAGCCAAGGTGTACAGATCACTTAAGGTCAGGTGTTTGAGACCAGCCTGGCCAACATGGTGAAACCCCGTCTCTACTAAAAATAGAAAAAGTAGCTGGGCATGGTGGCTGGCACCTGTAGTCCCAGCTACTCTACTCAGGAGACTGAGGCAGGAGAGTTGCTTTAACTCAGGAGGTAGATGTTGCAGTGAGCCAAGATCATGCCACTGCACTCCAGCCTGGGCAACAGAGCAAGACTCTCTCTCAAAAAAATAAAATAAAAAAGATATTTTACATTCTTTGTGTTCATCCTAAGCCTTTGAAATCTGGTGTGTATTTCACACATTCAGCATATCTCAATTCTGACCAGTTGCATTTCAAGTGCTCTGTGGCCTCATATGGCTAGTGGCTACTGCAACCAGACACAGCAGCTCTAAAATCCCCTTCCCCCAGGTTTTTCGTGACTGGTTCCACTTCACTAAATTGTCACATCCCCACAAAATGCCTCCTGTGATTGTGCCATTATCTAAAGCCTTGGCCCTCCTGCCTCCTCTCGTGTCACCTTGGGCATTTGTTTCCTGGAGGTGCTGTAAGAAATTATCACAAACTGGGTGGCTTAAAGCAACAATGATTTACTCTCTTGCAGTTCTGGAGGCTAGAATCTAAACTCAAGATATTGACTGTGCTCTGGTCCCACTAAAGTCTCTAGGGGAGAAGCCTTTCTTGCCCCCTCCCAGCTTCTGGTGGCTGCCAGCAACCCCTAGGATTCCTTGGATTATAGCTGCCTCACTCTAATCTCTGCCTCTGTCTTCAGGTGGCTGTCTTCTCCCTTGGGTCACAGTCTCTGTGTCTTTTCTCTTCTTAGAAGGACAGCTGTCATATTGAATTAAGAGTCCACCCCACCTCAGCATCGGCAATGGCTGTGTTTTCAAATCAGATTACATCCCGAGGTCTGGGAAGCACTTGACTCTGGGGAGGACACTGTCCAAGCCAGTACATGATGCATTATTGTTTGCTCTGTAGAACGTAACGCTGTCTTCAGCTGTCCTGTGTGTGTCCCGCTTCAGTATCTGATTGCCGCACTAAAATGTAAGCTCCATTGCAACAAGGTACTTCTCTAACTCACTACTCTATCCTCAGCACTCAGAACTGCAGGTTTTCTGGCTTTATGTGTTTAAAGATGGTACATGGGACTCAAGAGAGGACTGGGGCTAAGGAGGGGAATCAAGAAAAAGTTGGGGCTTCCTACACATTCCTGTTGTAGGATCTTTCTTTCCAGTCTTTTCCCAGGAGCTTAAGAATGGGCCCAGCTGTGACACCTGAATAGCCACTAAGGGGTCAGAACTATACATTCCTGTCACTTAGACACCTACCCTCACCCTTGCCCCACCATGGAAAAGCAGGTACCCAGCTAACCAGGAGTGTGACAGAGAGAAAAGAAGAGTCACTTGCCATGTTGTCCTAGCTAGGTCCTTCACATTGGAGGAGAGTGTCTACCTGCAAAGGTGTCTCATTATCATAGCTGATGATACAAAATAGGGCTAACAAACTGGGCTGTCGGCAAGGAATTGAGAGATGCGGGCCAGATGGGGACTGGAGCAAACCACAGTGTGTCAAGGTAGAACAGCAGCATGAACTCTAGGTATTTGTTCTCATAAAGAAGTCTTGTATTTCACAGGCTTTCAGTTTTTTTAAACAAAGCCTGAGGCCTAGATTTTTAAATGAAATCATCAAATTAGCAAATGTTAGCAAGCAATTCAATCAAACAGGAGTGGGGGGAAGGCCACTATGGAGGCCAAACTAAAAAAATAAATAAATAAAGAGCGTGTGATCAGAGGCGACCCCTGATTCACAACCTCTGTTGCAATGCAATCCCACAGTTTTTAAGAATCTGAAATTTCCAGCCTGTAATCCCAGCACTTTGGGAGGATGAGGTGAGCAGATCACGAAGTCAGGAGATCAAGACCATCCTGGCTCTCACGGTGAAACCCATCTCTACTAAGAATACAAAAAATTAGCCAGATATGGTGCGGGCGCCTGTAGTCCCAGCTACTTAGGAGGCTGAGGCAGGAGAATCACTTGAACCTGGGAGGCAGAGGTTGCAGTGAGCCCAGATTGTACCACTGCACTCCAGCCTGGGCAACAGAACGAGACTCTGTCTCAAAAACAATAAAAAAAAGAATCTGAAATTTTCAAACAGCGTGGGTGGGAACAAGGCAGAACTCTGCTGCATGGACTTATGCAGGTAGGCTGAAAAAGAAGCAGCAAGTCAAGGAACAGTTCCAGACATCCATAGTTAGGCCTAAGCAAACCAGAACACCTTCTTCCTCTCCCTCAATCTAGCTGCTAGCAGGGATAATGGACCCTTGCCTCCAGTTGTATTTTTGCCCAAATCCTCTCCAACGTTTGTGGGAAGTGTGATGATTTGGGGGGAGGGAAGGTTGGGGCTGCCTGATCACCCCTTTCCTTCAGTCAAACCAGGGACTGGTGTTTCATCATCCCTCCTCCAAACTCCCATCATCACCTCCCCAAGCCCCGCAAAGCCCTGCTCTTCCCCGCAAAGGGATCATAGTTAAAAATATCAGACAGGATTCTAGCCTGGGCTTTGCAAAACTCTCTAAGCCTCAGTTTCCCCATCTCTAAGATTGGTCATAACCCAACTTTGCACAAATTTTGTACATAATGTGTGCATATGAGAAAAGGGTACTGTTCCTCCAGTGTGGCCCCAAACCAAGGTAAACGTATTGGCAAACACAGAGGGGCTGGACTTCACACCCTTTTAGCCCTTTGGCTGGGCGCCCTTGTTCAGTGAACATCCTGTACTACCGCATGTGGCCACCCTGGATAGCCTCTCACTTGTAGACTTATAGTGAGAATTAAATATGATACTGTTAGAAAATGTTTAACACAATTATATGGTAAATGATAATGAATCAACGTTATGTTTTTAATCTTAATTTTTTTACATGTTCTTTAATAGTCCTAAATAGTCCAGCTCTTGAGGCCTTAATATTGTTTTAGGTAGGTGCAGTCTGGGGTCAGAGAATTAAATTAACATTGAATTAAATGAGCATTGAATAGTGAGAAACGTTTTCTTTTCAATTGTCTCATTTCTTCTGAGAAAGATTCAGTATTGAACATCCCCAACACTTGCTAATACACACACACACACACACACACACACACACCTGAACCTCTAAGAGTTTTTCCAACCTAGCAGAAGGGCTAAAATGTATTAACATTGCTTGGTTTTAGCTGTGTTTATCTTTTACCATTTCCTTTTCTGGTGAGGAACAGCTACTTTTCAATTTACAGTGGTTGTATCAGGTTTTCTTTCCAAAAATATGTACTTAGGTTTTCAAAATGAGTCAATTTAAGGGAAAACGTTAAGTAAATAATAAAGGTGGTCGCAGAAAGCTTGAAGTTTGGGAAAGTCGACACTAGACAATTCCAGACAAAGCCAGACCTTGATGTCCTAAATTCCAGCAAGGCTCACGTCGATTCCCTACAAGATCAATTCAGAGTTTGCGCCTGGAAGCTCCTGACTTTCATAACCTTCTGCTCATTGAGAGGTGCGCCTGGGTCATGCCTCATGAGCTCCTTGGACCTTCTCAGGGAGGGGTAGTCAGTCCCTCCTGAATGACTCAAGTGGGCTCTGCCCTGGCTAAGTCCAGGCAGGACCAGGGTCCTGACAGCCGAGAGGCCTGAGCGCAACCTCTCCTTGCCAGCGATGCCAAGGCGCCCTCCAAGATTAACGAGGAGCGAGTGCAGCAGGGTACACAGTGTGGCTGTATTTGATCCGCAACGTGTCACTCGGAATCGCAAACAATTTATTGCCAATAGACGACGTTGTCAGCCACCAATTTTCTGGTGGCGCTCCATCACAGGCCTCTCAACATCGGGGGAGGGGCTCAGAGGCCGGTGAGCAGGGGGCTCGGAGGAGCCGTCGCGAGCCAGCCGGGGGTTCCAGTAACGAGGCTTTAATGAGGGGAGCGCGCCGGCCTTTGTCGAGAAACCCAAGGAGGAGGTGGCGGCCGGTCAGGAGCTCGGCAAGGTCGCTTCCTCCCCCGGCCCCGAGAGCCCGGGAATCCAGAGGGGGTCAGCGGCGGCCGCCAGGCCGGGCGCCTACCGAGGTCCTGGGCCCGCACCACCCTCGCCCATTCCGAATTGCGAACTGCGGCAGGAAACACAAAATTTCCAAGCAACAATGCAAACGCGCTCATTACCATCTCCTCAATATGCATGAAGAAAGTGCGCAACGCTGGCCGAACCCCCTCACACGGCTCTGGCCTCGGCGTCCAATAAGGCGACAAATTCATCTCCCAGGATGAATGAGGAGGGGGCGCCGGGGAGGCGGATCCAAGGGGGCGCGGGGGGGGGGGTGGGGTACGGATCCCGGAGAGGGAGAGAAGAAGAGAGAATATTTACAGAGAAGAAAACCTGAGAAACAGAACAAGAAATCCAAGGAGGAAATAGGAGAGGGTCCGGATGAAAGAGGGGAGGAAAGAAAGAAAATTAGAAACAAGAACTGCGGGTGGGGTAAAGGGACACAGTCACAGACTCAGGAAGAAGAGAAAAGAAGAAGCGGGTGAAGGAGGGAACAGAAGGGAGAAAAGTGAACTGAAAAGTGGTCCAGGGCAAAGGCATAAAAACAACACAAATGAGGGAGCGGAGGAAAGAGAAGGAAAGATTTAGAAATCGAAGATAGAGGAAATGGGAAGGACAGACGGAGGGGAAGAGAAAAACAAAGGCATGGGGGAGGGGACCGCTCAAGTCAGGTAGGAAACAGATGATCTTGGAGAGGTAACGGAAAAGAAATTATTCCCTCCGAGGGCCAGATTCATCCATCTAGGCCATCTGGGCGCTGCGCCTCCCGAGCCGCTCAGAGACGCAGGGGAGTGAGCCAGGTCGGGGGAGGAGCAGGGGCGGAGCGGTGAGCAAAGGGCCCACCGGCCTCACGCCCCACCTCGGGCATCCCGACCCGCTCCCGGGTGCCCAGCTCTGGCCCGGGGTCCACCCTGCGCGTCACGGCCCGCCACCGCCGCTGCACAATTCGGGCCGGCGGCCTCTCCTGCGCCGACAGCAAAGTTGGCAAAGTTTCCCCCTGAGTTTCCCCGTTGCTTCTCCGGACCTAGGAAGGGCCTCCGAGTCCCTGGTGGCTGGTGGGAGCGGCAGCACACTCCGGAGAGCTCGGGAGGCCCCAGGTCCGTGTCCCCTGGGATGCTCGGAGTCCGGATTCCTGGCCAAATACGAATTCCACCCGGTGCGGACGCCAGGCCACGCTCTCGGGAGTCCACGGCTGCTAATAGCGGAGAAAGAGAACGCGAAAGTGAGAGAGAGGGAGAGAGAGAAGGAAAAAAAATATTCTCAGCTCAATTTAAGTCTCATGGAAAGGGCTTACAACTGTAATTAAATCATTAAATTCTTGTCTACGCTTCACAGAGCGGAGAGAAATTAACTTCCCACCAACCTCATTTTCTATTTGAACATGAAATAATGATTTTCTGCCCGTCTAATTACAAAGCCAACATCTGATCAAGCCAGCATCCAGAGGGGATTATCGCATGCACGAGTATTAGACCTCATTACCAGCTTGAGTGCAAAATTATTACATCTTGTAATTGGATGGTGAGATTTATATACAGATCGGCCCGGTTTCTGTAAGATTGTAATTACAAGCTTCGTTGGTTAGCTACTTATCAGAACTTTGCAGGAAAACAAAACAAATGACTGAGGAAAACGAGCATTTCATTAACCTGTAACCCGAGCGCGAGGGGGAGGGAACGGTGGGAGACGCGCCGCAGCGTCTGCAGGAAGCGCAGGGATCGCCGGCCGGCACCGCAGCCCAGGGACTTCGGGCCTCGGTGGGAAGGCTAGAAGATGGGCCGGGGCTGGGAGACTCAGGGTTGCAGCAGCTCCCCTCGACGGGGACGCCTGCGCACCTTGAGGCTAGACGAGGAGGGGACAGAAAGCTGGCCTGGCGACTCTGGGCTCGTGTGCAGTGCGCGGCGCAGCCCCCGGAGCCTGACGGGCCGCAGGCCCGAGGCACACGTCGGGCAGGGGCTCCCGGTGCGCATCCGGCGCACAGGCGCCAAGCGTTTGCGGTGGACAGATACCCTCTCCGAACACTCCCCGCGCCCGGGGCCTCACTGAGAGCGCCTGCAGCGAGACCCCAAAGCGCTTTGTGGGCTGGAAATGTTGAAAGAAGGCGAGAAGCTGGAGAAGCTTCTGCCTGAAGCGCGTTCTTGAGCGCGACTCCCAAATCTACTTTCGTGCACCTGCTTTTCTTCCTTGTGCCAGTGTGTCACTCTGACCATTTAATCTGTTGGACTAAAAATCCCTGGAAAAGGTTCAGCTGCCTTCGGACCCTCGAGCTCAGCCCGCAGCCGGGCTCCACTGGCCCGGTCGAGTTGGGTGACCACGCCACGTTGGGACGGGGCGGCCTGGGACGCTGAGGCGACGTGACACGCAGATCGCCCAGCCAGTTCAAGGCTGTTCCCAGCTGGAAACTAGGGTAGCCAGGAGACCGCTACTGCTCGAGGCCTGGGGAGCCTGGAGGGACGTAACTATGCGATGTTCTTAGGTAGGCGTCTGGGTCTGTAGGTTCACCCTCTGAGCTGTGGGCGCCCCCCAGCCGGCCTGAGTCCCTAAGAACAGCCAGGCCCTTCCCTGGCCTCTTTCTCGCCTCCCGCTGTCCGATGCAACCAGGTCGATAGCTGGTTAATGCAGAAGGAGCATCTCCGAGGCTCATTATTGTTTTTTTCTTTTCCTTCTGAAAAAAAGCTGAATTAAATATCGGGAGTCTCACCCGGTCACTTACAGCGCAGCCGCATTCCACACACACTCCCACCCCCGAATCTCGCTCTCGGCTTCCCCCGGTCTGGTGCTACCACTTTGTGCAAACACTAGGACTTCAGGGCCTTCGAGGCTCGAGGTCTGACATCTAGGAAACATCCGGAAAATTATGTTGCTCTCGATTTTGTAACCCCAAGATTCTTCGCGTGAAGGTGAGCCCAATATTCCCTATGCCACATTCTGAGAGGTTTAAACGGAAACGAAATCAGGCATCGAGGAGATATTTCAAAGCCAAGGCGGCTCCTGATGACGCCTCCTAGGGTGGGGCTCCTGAGAAGGCACCAGGCTCCCCTGCACCAGGCAGAGGCCGAGGGAAGGTAACAGCGAAGCTGCTCAGATGCAGTGTGAGACTACCCCACTTTCCCTCACTGCCCCCCAAACCTGGTCTTCCCCAAACTTTCCCTTGTTTCCTCCCCGCTCTCCGTCCCCCGCCACCATAAGGTTTTTTGGCATTCGCTCCTACTGGAGCCGCAGATCGTTGCCAAAACCCAAGGAGAGGTGGGAGGTGGGAAGTGGGATCAAAACTGTGTGCCTGCAGTGGAGGTGGAAGCATCTCTCCCCATTTGGGAAATTGGGTGTCTGCAGTGGAGGTGGAAGCATCTTTAATTCCAGAGCTGGGTTCCCCAGAGCTGTGATCAGAGACATCCGGGGCCAAGACCCCCTGATCGCCTCTGATCCCGGCACTCTGGTGGAATTCGAATTCGATTCCTGTATCCATCCATCCAAGGTAGACGGTTTCCGCCTCCGAACTGGGCCTGTCCACTCCACGGCAGAGTCGCCACCCCTGTTTTGTCCCCGGGGCGTGCCCACTGTAGGGTTGGCCGGCCTGTGGGTCGTCGCCGCGGCCTAAAGCTCTGAGCCCCCAGCCGCAGCAATGCTCGGAATTTCATGCCTCTGTCGGCTGCACGCCCTAATCCAGAAAGGTGGGCGCCAGATCCTAGGATTTCAAGTTTGATTTCGGAAGTTTCCCATCATCAAACCAAAACTCTGCCTCCCTTCCCCACCGGAGGCGGTGGGAGGATCCTTGCAGAGAGAAAAAGGGTTGGTGCGGGAGCAGGGCTAGGAGTCTTGCAAGTAAGGATCTCTACAGACGAAAATGCCAATATAGAAACTTCTCGAAGAGCTCTCCAAAAGTTCCTAGGCCTCCATCGCCCGGCGCCCTGCTCCTCCCCCAATCCCCGCCGCCTGGGGCGCTGGCCTGCAACGCCGATTTGTGGCCGCTCCTTATACTTCCAGCCACCCCCCACCCCCCCGCCCCCGGCTGCCACCCTTCAGCTCCCGGACCCAGCCCGCCATTTTTAGTAAGGGATTCGCACACGGACCCGAGGGCAGCGTTAAGCGGCTAATCTCAGGGTTTGGTCCTCCAGGATGGGGGCTGCCTCGCCCCCGCAGGGCAACGAGGTGGCCTCCAAGACGCGATTAGGACGCACTCCCTCGCTCCCCACCCCCACGCCGGCTGCTAGCTCCCTCCCTACGCAGCTGAAAGTGGCTGGGAGTCCAGAGGTGTGAGCTGCACAAGGGGTCCGGGCACCGTGGAGCCCCCGGAGCCAGCCTCCGCCCAGGCAGGTCCCGCGCCTAGGCGTGGGGAGAGGCTCGGAAGGGTGGGAGGCGGGAGGGGCGAGCTGACCCTACACTCACCCGGTCCCCAAGCCTCACGCTCCACCACCCCGCGCGGGCAGGAGGGGTCGGGCAGGGACTAGCGGCGCCCGGGCTCCCGCCCCTGCCCCGCCCCGCCCTGCGCGCAGGATCCGAGGGGGTGGGCCGCCTCGCCTGTAAGGCGCCCAGGCGATTGGCGACTCTGGGAAGAGACGCGGGGAAAAGTCGAATAAGAGGGCGCGACGTCAGACCCGAGATTTGGGGAAGGGCGAGGGAGGGGGTGGAAGGGCGGGGACGGACACACAGACACGGACACACACCCCCCGCGCGGCAGCCTAAGTGTCCACAACTTTCGGCTGCCTCACTTAGCTCGGGGTGCACAGACTGGAAAGGACGGGGGGAGTATTGTGTGAGTAAAGAGAGATATTTAAAGGACTGAAGTAGTGAGAGAGAAAAAAGTGAAGGGAACGGACCGGAGAGCAAAAGCCACCGTGAGAAAGGGAAAGAGAAGGGGAGAGGAGAAAGGAGAGTTTCCTAGCGTCCAGGGCAGTGCGGGAGCCCGAAGGAGCGGAAGCGATCCTGGGGGGAAGAGAAGTGCAGAGAGGGGAGGGGAGAGGAAGGGCGAGGAGGGGGAGTGAAAACTAGAGGAGGGCGAAGGAAGCGAGGCGCGACACTGCTGGGGAGAGGAGGGCAGTGAGGAGCGAGGCCGGGCAGAGGCAGCTCCCGCGGCCGAGAGGAGGGAGCGCGGCGCAGAGAGGAGGGGCTTGCGCCCCGTAGAAATGTCAATCAGAGCCCGGAGCCCCGGGAATCTCCGCCAATCTGTTCCGACCTGACCTGGCTCCTCGCCGCCGCCGCCGCCGCCGCCGCCGCCGCGGAGCAGATCAGTAGGCGAACGCGGAGCACAGCGCAGCGCGGGAGGCAGCGCGGCCCCAGCCCGGCCCAGCCCCCGATGCGCGCCGGAGCCCGCCGGCGGCGCTGAGCTGGGCGGCCCGGGGGCCGGGCCCCCTCTCCGTCCGTGCCCCGCGGGCCACCATGTCCTTCCCCCAGCTCGGATACCAGTACATTCGCCCGCTCTACCCGTCCGAGCGCCCGGGGACCGCTGGCGGCAGCGGAGGCAGCGCGGGGGCCCGGGGCGGTCCGGGTGCCGGAGCCTCGGAGCTGGCCGCCTCGGGGTCCCTGTCCAACGTGCTCTCATCCGTGTACGGGGCACCCTACGCCGCGGCCGCTGCGGCCGCCGCCGCCCAAGGCTACGGCGCCTTCCTGCCCTACGCCGCGGAGCTGCCCATCTTCCCGCAGCTGGTAAGAGCCCGCGGAGCTGGGGAAGTAGGGGTTGGCAATGGGGCGCAGGGCGAGCTGAGCGCGCGGGAGTCGAACTAGCGGGGTGCAGGTTAGGAGAGGGAGGCAGCGACAGCTGGGTCTCACCCGCGCTCCCTCCGCGCGTGTCCCTTCCTTCTCCATGTGCGTACAGGGCGCGCAGTATGAGCTAAAGGACAGCCCCGGGGTGCAGCATCCGGCCGCGGCCGCCGCGTTTCCGCACCCGCACCCCGCCTTCTACCCGTATGGCCAGTACCAGTTCGGGGACCCGTCCCGTCCTAAGAACGCCACCAGGGAGAGCACCAGCACGCTCAAGGCCTGGCTCAACGAGCACCGTAAGAACCCCTACCCCACCAAGGGCGAGAAGATCATGCTGGCCATCATCACCAAGATGACCCTCACCCAGGTGTCCACCTGGTTCGCCAACGCGCGCCGGCGCCTCAAGAAGGAGAATAAGATGACTTGGGCGCCTCGCAGCCGCACAGACGAGGAGGGAAACGCTTACGGGAGCGAGCGCGAGGAGGAAGACGAAGAAGAGGACGAAGAGGACGGCAAACGCGAGCTAGAGCTGGAGGAGGAGGAGCTCGGGGGGGAGGAGGAGGACACGGGGGGCGAGGGCCTGGCGGACGACGACGAGGACGAGGAGATCGATTTGGAGAACTTAGACGGCGCGGCCACGGGGCCTGAGCTGTCCCTGGCTGGGGCGGCGCGCAGGGATGGCGACCTCGGCCTGGGACCCATTTCGGACTCCAAAAATAGCGACTCGGAAGACAGCTCTGAGGGCTTGGAGGACCGGCCACTGCCGATCCTGAGTCTGGCTTCAGCGCCACCACCAGTGGCCGTGGCCTCGCCGTCTCCTCCCTCGCCCCCCGTGGGCCTGGACCCCTGCGGTCCCGCACCAGCGCCTGCCTCCGCCCTGCAGAAGCCCAAGATCTGGTCCCTCGCGGAGACTGCCACAAGCCCGGACAACCCACGCCGCTCGCCTCCAAGCGCTGGGGGGTCTTCACCCGGGGCAGCCGTAGCGCCTCCCGCCCTGCAGCTCTCTCCGGCCGCCGCCGCAGCTGCAGCTCACAGACTGGTCTCAGCGCCGCTGGGCAAGTTCCCGGCTTGGACCAACCGGCCCTTTCCAGGCCCGCCGCCCGGCCCCCGCCCGCACCCGCTCTCCCTGCTGGGCTCGGCCCCTCCGCACCTGCTGGGACTTCCCGGAGCCTCGGGCCACCCGGCTGCCACTGCCACCTTCGCTCGGCCCGCGGAGCCCGAAGGCGGAACAGGTGACTGCTGAGCGCGGGACGCGGAGCAGGGTCGGGCTCTGAGGGTCGTGCAGGAGCTGGCTGGGAGGGGAAGGGCCCGGGGCGGGGGGGGGGGTGGGGAGCGTAGGGCGCTTCCCTCTCCTCGTTGCTTTCTGCGCCCTGGGCGCCGAAATTGAGCGCTCTAAAAGCCCTCCTTTTTCTTTCCCCGCTTCCATTAGACCGCTGTAGTGCCTTGGAAGTGGAGAAAAAGTTACTCAAGACAGCTTTCCAGCCCGTGCCCAGGCGGTAAGAGACCCCGAGGTTGGGGGGCTGAGGGGGTGCGCTGGCTGTCGGGGAAAGGAGAGAACGCGGAGCACCACTAACTGCCTTCTGCCCCGAGGAGGGGGGAACCCTGCTGGGACGCGTTTTGTAAAAGGGGACGAAAGTCACGTCTTCAGTCGCCTCTGTCGGCCCTGTGACAGCCCTCCAGGCCTAACCCAGGCACCCCAGGTGCGGCCGGCGGGTACAGCGCTGGGGGGGAGCCTTGCGTGGCTGGGCCCAAAGGCCCCTGGGGCGGGTGGCGACTCTCTGACGCCCACCTCTTTCCAGCCCCGGACCTCGGGTCCTGACTCCTCGTCCCCACCTTAGTTAAACCCCAACACACACATCAACAACTGGACATAATTTTACATTGCGACACCTTCCTGATCTCGGCCCCAAGCCAAGTAGGATCACCCCGCCCTAGGCAGCCTCTGCGCCTCCGAATCTCACCTCTTTTGCTACTACTGTCTCTCTCTTCCAGGCCCCAGAACCATCTAGACGCCGCCCTGGTCTTATCGGCTCTTTCCTCATCCTAGTTCTTAAAAAAATTTTTTTTTAATGGTTGTAATAATTGTAAAAATAATTCTCTCTGTATAGCTACAACTTGTAAGCATGTCCGCGTATAAATACCTGAAAGCAAAACTAAACAAAAAGAAAGAATAAGAAATAAAACCAGTTCTCCTTGGCCCTCCCCAAGTCGCTTCTGTGGCACCCCGCATTCGCTGTGAGGTTTGTTTGTTCGGTTGATTTTGGGGGGTGAGTTTCAGTGAGAATAAACGTGTCTGCCTTTTTGTGTGTATATACAGAGAAATGTACATATGTGTGAACCAAATTGTACAAGAAAGTATCTATTTTTGGCTAAATAAATGAGCTGCTGCCACTTTGACTATAACCCGCCTGTCTGTCCCCTCGACGAATCTGTTTGGTGGTTTTTTGCTTTTTGAGTTTTCCCTCTCAGCTGTTTGAGAATCCGCGGGAAAGGACGAGAGACGAGTCAGGACCGAGTAGTCGAAGAACAGCAATATCGGAGGAGGCGCAGAAGTGGCGGGGCTGGGACAGCGGCAGCAGGAGAGGTGGATGGAAAAGTACCTGGGGGGCCCAGAGAACGGGAGCAGGGGGCAGACGGGAGACTCCCGCAGGATTCTTTACTAAGAGCCGGGAAACTGGGCCCGACCCGAAGGTCTACGGGAGCAGCCGCGGGGTCTGGGGGCCTTAGGTGGTAACCTTGCAAAAAGATTTAGAGAAGGGTCTGGACATAGCGGGGTTAGCCTGCGCGGGTGGCGGGGGCGTGTTCTTATCACTCCCCTTGTTTCCATTCTTTGATGGACACGATGAGGCTTTCTCAGTGTTACCGGTAAGAGGCTGTGACAGGCCAGATTCCATCCTCCTTCCAACCCGGTTGCACCCCTTTCCTCTTTACAGATGCCAGGGTGTGGGGTGATGGTGAAGGCGGATACGGAGAAGAGGGGAGTCTTAGGGGTGCATATCATCCCTCTAGAGGAGGCATGACTGCCCAGCTCTAGTTGAGAGTTGGGGAGCCCGGGTCCTGGCAGCATCTGTGCGTCTCGGTACCCTGGTGGGTTTTACCACGTGACCTGGAAGAGGCATCCTGCTGCGGTCCCGGCGCGGAGGTTGCGGGGGGTGTCGGACCGCCGCACCTTTCAAGCCGGGATTCCGGCTTCAGGCAGGCCTGGGGTGGGCGGACAGGGGGAGGGAGCAGGGAAATTTGGGGCTGGAGCTCCCTCTACAGGACAAAGGGGACACTCGGCGCCTCGCCTCGGTGGCCTCTCCACCCAGCCGCGCGCCGCGCCCCCTCCGCGCCCTCTTTTTCCTCTGCCGGACTTTGACTTGGAGAAGTTATAGGAGGTGTTTGGGCGAGTGACGCCTCGGAGTAAGAAGGAGAGACACATTTTTTGCCCCCTCCCCCACGTTAGTAAAGGTACAGTGTGGCCAGATGCGGGGTGTTTGGCCCGTAGAGTGGCGCGTGTGACAGCCTCGCGCGTTCCAGGGAAGTACGGGAAGAGCACACACCCCCGAAGCCACGGAACAAGTCACGGCTCAACCTTCGAGCCTCGGCGGCAGCAGAAAGAAGTCCAGCAGGACTGTTTGCGGGCCCAGCGGCCAGCGCTGCGCCTCTGGAGTCCCCTCCGCGAAGGGCGATCAGGGTGCGGCGGCGCCCCAGGGGCTAGTGGGGAGGGGGCTCTGTCGGCCTCTGTGTCACTCTGCGGGCGCACAGAGGTTTGGCGAACCTCGAGTGGACACCCGCCAAAGCCGCTCCGCTGCTGGCTCGCTCGCTCTTCCGGCCCCTTCCCCAGAAGCCAAAGAGATGTCTCCTGGGCTCCCCAGCCTTCCCCTTCTTTGTTAAGGGTGTTTCTGGGGTTCAGGCTCCTTCCCAATTCGTAAGCTCAGACTGAGG